ATATTTAGTTTTGAGGTAAATATTTAGCTTGAAACTTAAATATTTAGCTAGCAAGTTAAATATTTAGCTATCCACCTTAATATTTAACTTAAACATTTAGTTAGATACCTAAATATTTATGTTGCAACTTGAATATTTAGCTAGTAAGTTAAATATTTAGGTAACTAGCTAAATATTTAAGTTAAATATTTAGCTCAAAACTAAATATTTAAGAACTGACTTTGAAAATTTTTCTTATAAAAGGCTAAATAAAACAAATCTTGGTGGTAATTTTTGACTGTGTACCTTTACAAACGATACTCACCACTCACTTTAATGTATTTTTATGCTGAAGTCTTTACAGGTGGTGAATCTGTAGCAGAGTGGTTCTACCTGTCGACACATCAGGTGGTTTCTGAGAGTGACAAGGTTCTTTAAATTCACTCTGAAAACAACACAGCAATGTACTGATATTGAGCATTTAAATTTGTAGTTTTGTATACTTAGGTATTCAAAAGTACATGGATTTAAAATATTCAAGTATTTTCAAATGTAAGTACTTCAGTACTTTTAACTTGAGTAGACTTTTGTACGAATAACTTTCACTTGTAGTTGAGCAGATTGGACCCTGAGTATCAATACTTTTACTCAAGTACTAGAGTAGAGTACTTTGTCCACCACTTTTTAATAAACACTATGCAGACCATTCTTATGGGCATCAATGACTCATTTTACCAGTAATCAAATAATCAACCAGTCTTGGAAATTAAAACCATTATCTAAAATGTATCTATCTGCTCATGAATGTGTTTTCATTTAAATTAAGAATAAATGTGAGCTCTGACCTGAGTGACAATCTGCAGTCTCTCCACAGCAGCTGCTGTTAGAATCAATCCTGACTCCAGGCACTCTACTGGTTTTGGTGGTGGACCTGAATGAGCTGGATGAATCCATGGTGGGAGGCAGCTGAATAGATGAGCTGTCTCTGGAGCTGGCCCCTGTTCTGGTAGCATCAAACTGAGGTTTGAAGGTGCTGAAAGTCCTGTGATGGTTTCCATTGTCCTCCCATCCGTCAGCTCCTCCTCTGCTTCTGCTCTCATGGAGGTACGTATAAGGACCTCCTGGTTTTCTGTCTTCTCTTTCTGGACATTGGAGCAAAGGGCTGTGCTTCAGGATGGTCTGCAGCTCTTCGATGGTCTGGCGGTGAACACCCATCTTATTAAAGAAGGCCCCAGTCTGAGAGGATGTTTCTCTTCTCCAGTCGTCATGTTCATCCACCCTGAGACCACCAGCCTGCTCTGGAGACGTTTGAGGCAGAGGAACAATGGAGACGATTGCAGGAGCCTCTGAAGTTTTCTGGGTACTGAGAGATGAATGAACAATTTCTGGACCTTCTGAACTGCTGCTCAGGTCCTCTGGAGGCAAATGTTTCCCAGTTACCCTGACGCCTTTCTTGCTGCCCAGACTCATCACTGGACCATCTGTTTGGTCTTTGCTTTTACTCTGGAAAACACATCAGGTCCATCAGAACTGTGGTCAGAGAAGGTCCAGTGAAGATATCTCATCAAAAATACAGAAATTTAAAGCTTTGTCTGTTTAATTAACTCCAGATGAATTATACATTCAGTATATGAAATTAAAATGTCTGTAATCTCTTACAGTATTCTACTGATACATAAATATAAATAAAAGTTATTACCTTGAAAACGTCAGAGTCATTCATTTTTACCTTTATGCTGATGAACTGTGGTTTGCAATTAGATAGCCTCCATTTGAAGGCAGAACCTGACTCACACAATATTTTTTATAGACAATTGGTACAATGACGATGGATGAGAAAATTCTTCCTGACCCCGACACCCACTGGAGTTCAGCTGGAAACTGTCCCCCGCAGGCTGCTGCAAAGACTGAACTGTTGATGCTTTCATGTCATTGGCTGTGGGTGAGGACAATTCAGTGCTGTTTTTGTGTTGTTGCAGACTGAAACTGCTGAGCACAGCAGTTAGGCTTCCAGAAATAAACAGAAGTATTTCTAAAAGTATTTATTGCAAAAATACTCAACTTTGAAGATTGTAGATTTCAGTATAGATCAGTTTTCTTCTATAAAGCCCCCCAACATATTTTGGACTTAGTCTTGTCAGAATCAGAATCAGTTTTATTGTCATTGTCAATGAACAGGATTCACAGACCAGGAATTTGCTTCGGTGTGAAGGTGCAATAATTATCAAGTATAACAAATAAAGAAAATACAGGCTGTCAGGTCCTTGTACGACCGGTGTCAGAGTCTGGTTCGCATTGCCGGCAGTAAGTCGGGCTCGTTTCCGGTGAGAGTTGGACTCCACCAAGGC